GAAAGAGACACCCTGCGTATCGTTCCTTTTGTTATTTTTAAAAAGCTCTTCAACTTCAGCATAATCCTACTGTGGCAATTTTACCTGAAAACAACTGTAAATTCGAGCTGAACGTAAAATCGTATTTTGTTAAATATGTCATTTTTTGTAAGAGCGATTCTGTACATATTTATAGCTTTTATGAATATAATTACGTACTGCCCTACGTTGAGAAGATGACGAGCGGAAGGAACGCGGGTCTCATTGGATGTAGCGGACAAACTCATAAAGTTAAGTCACACGCATTTTTATTATTGGAAGAAACGGTCACATCTACTAATCAAACGTCGAGCAAGTGGCTTACTCTCTCCTTGCCCCTGTGCCGTCCCGCTCGTCATCTTCTCAGCGTAGGACAGTACAAATATAATTAACGAATACCGTTAAAATTCCCTGAAACTACCAGTTTCATCATGCGTACGTTTTTAAGTGTATAACATCTTGTTCTTTTATTAACACGTTGCTCACCTGTGACCGGGGATTGTTTCCTGGACGAAGTCACTGTGGTCATCGGTGCCCGGAGTGTCTCAAATGTGTAAAATCAAACGACTATCGTCAACTAAAAATTTTGAACATCGTAGCTAACTGGACATTACTTTGAATTGAAAAAATTAATAATAAAGCGTAATATAATATTACGCTTAGAATAATGAACATTTTTTTGTGGCCCCCTCGAGACCAACGTGTAAATCTGGCGTGGAAGTCAACGTGTTGGTAGGTTTAACATATGAAACATTTAAAAGATTCGAAATTTTATTTTTTTTTTTTTTTTTGTAGATTTTAGTTTTTCTAAAGTAAATATAAAAACTATAGACAGAAGCATGATTGCACAGCGTTTGTAGACATTTATAGTAATATTTCGTGACAGTTTTGCGTTTACAAGTCACTATTTACAGATACAACAAAGATTTCTCGAATACTTTTTTTCCAGTAAACGAAGAGTTATTTATTTCTATTCGCTGGTACGAAAACTGGTTCTGATACTGGTTCAGTATCTAGTTCACTAGTCACTATTTCGGGTAACTTGTAATTGCAAGCTTTAACGCGAATCAAGGCTGCGAACGTATTACATACATACTTCGATGAAAACAACTTAAACAAGGTTTTACTCAGCTGTGTATGCGTACTGAAAAAGTATGTGTATGAAATTTCTTTAACGACTTTCGCACACAATATTTCGAAGATCGTTAGATTACATTTCTAAGATTACCCAGATTTACGTTTGACATAAATTTATCAATTTGACATAAATTCGTTATTATTCAATAATAATCAGTTGCTTCTTTAAGCATGATTGCCTTTAATCAGCTTCGATAAGGAAATCGCGATGAATTTAACCTCATCGATATTCCTTCACGTGAAATATTTAAGTAGAATAGAAAATCTATAAACATTTTGTTCAGCACACGTACAGAAATAGCAATCGGTGAAGTTGAACATATCTGTCGAATAATTCACCGGGAGTAAGCCCTAACGAAATAGAACAGGTCACGGAAAACCAAGGTCACGTGTCATTTTTCACACGCATCCGTTAATTTAACTATGCTGTGCTATAAATATCTAGTTTATGCTGCTTCGTTTAGCAAATGTGTTGCTACACGAATTTCCGGCGCGCACACATTGATAAATGAACTTTTTCAAAAATGAAGGAAATCAAAATTTTCTTACCATTTCTAGTATTTCTGGTCGTTTGTATGCAGCGTACGATAAAATATAACCTAATTGATTTCGCTTGAAAATTTTATATTCAATGTTTCTAACAGTCGTTCCAACGTCACACGTTGCTTAAGATGATTGAGTTTGTTTCAAAAGTACAAGGGATTAGAAAATTGACAAAAAAGATTCAAGGTGACCTTGAGATCTCAAAAAGTACAAGGGATGAAGAAAATTAAATTAAAAAGTACAAGGGATTAGAAAATTGAAAAAAAGAGATTCAAGGTGACCTTGAGATCTCAAAAAGTACAATGGATAAAGGAAATTAAATTAACCACGACGCTTTTTAAAAACAAAACACGATTCAAGGTGACCTTGAGATCTCAAAAAGTACAAGGGATGAAGAAAATTAAATTAAAAAGTACAAGGGATTAGAAAATTGAAAAAAAGAGATTCAAGGTGACCTTGAGATCTCAAAAAGTACAATGGATAAAGGAAATTAAATTAGTTACGGCATTTCTTAGAAAAAAAGTCTGAAGGTGACTTTGAGATCTCGGAAAGTGTAAAAGGCAGGAAAAATTGAATTAGTTACGACACTGCTTGAAGAAAAAGATTCAAGGTGACTTCGAGGTCTCGAAAAGTGTAAAAAGATAGGGAAAATTGAATTAGTTACGTCACTCCTTGGAAAAAAAGAAAGATTCAAGGTGACCTTGAGAAGTACAAGGAACGAAGAAAATTAAACAGCATATTTGAATGAATTTTTGCTAAAATCATTATTTACAGAATTACAGAACACTTTGTACACAGGGTGTTTCTAAAATAAGGAACCAAATGTTATAAGTGCATTCTATTTATCGCAACGGTGAAAAAACTTTGTATAAACACAGGCCGGTATATGATTTATTTCTAAGATAACGTGTTTGAAGCTTTTTCATTAACCCTTTCCAATCCCAATTTAATGAAATCCTTCAAAAGGGGGAAACAAGTCTTTTCTATTTTTTGAACAGTTAAATACACCAAGTGTAACAGTGTGGACACTTGTAAAAGTGTTTACTTCACTAAGAAATGATATGAAATGACATCTATGAACAGAAATGCAACAATGGTACGTGGAAACAAACGGAGTCATTAGCCTGGAAAGGGTTAAATGAAATTTCTGTTTCGAACTCTTCTCTGAACTATTGGGTAAACCTGATTCGACCTCCAGGATCATACACTACCAGCCAAAAGTTTCGAATCACCTGCTAATTTACGGTAAAATTGAATCCGCTGCTAATTTTTTATAGATTTGAAATTGACTTGATTATTTTACCTTATTTCGACTGATTTGAACGAGGAAAAATTGGTTAAAATATTCTTAAAATTGCTAACTTTATTCTGGAAATTTTTGTACAACTTGCAATGCACAGTGATTCCAAACATTTGGCCGGTAGTGTAAATAGGTATGAATTAAAGACTAGGAATTAAATTGAAGAGTTCTTTAAAGAGTCAGCGTCAATGTAAAATAGGTACTTGTCGTTTCAACGTTAGAATATTGCTGCGTCATGATTTCGAGACTAATCACGAACTAATACTGTCATATTTGTTGAAACTTAAAAGACTAGATACGGATATTAATAGAAGAACTGTTATGATTAATTACTCTGTGACAGACGTATAGGTCGTTTCTTTGGTTGTTTCTTTGGCGGAAAAAGAAATGAAGATGACGGTTGATCGGTTTTACCTAATATTAACATGTTAACAGGAAAACACGAGTTAACTCGTCATTGGTTAACTAATATTTAGATCAGTTTGTTATTATCTATTGAACGATTGCTGATTGTGAATCGTCGCACAGTGGAGTACTTGTGTGGAGAAGTTGGTCAAAATTATTTTTCTACTTTCAGCGGAGCCAAATGCACTTAGAAATGATGAAACTTGATTTTTAATTGTCCCTAAACTAATTTTCTTCCACGTTTCTTCTAAATATTATCACAAGTCTTTCTGAGATTTTGGACACTTAGCTCGTACTTTTTTGTCCAATCATCTCGCAATTTCTCGATGGGGTTGAGATCCGGTGATTAGGGAGGCCATTTTATAATTTTGAGTACACTTCCACCAGCTAAGGTTTCTAAATAGTCTACACAATTTAGCGATGTGCTTAGGATTATTATCCTGCACAAAAATAAAATTGTATCCTATGAGTCTTCCTCCAGAAGGTACAACGTGTTCTCTCAAAACGTTTAAATACTGTTCTTTACGAAGAATACCACCTATCTTCGCTAAATCACCTGCTACATTTCCACCAAAGCAACCCTACACAATGACAGAACCACCACTGTTTTACTCTAGCCACCACACAATCGTTTATGAATTTTTCAGTCGACTTTCTTCAAACGAACTGACGTCTTTTGCTTCCAAAAATATCGAATTTCGATTCATCTGTCCGTAACACTTTTTCCCAGTCTGATATGGTCCAACTTTTTATATTCCATTGCTCAACTAAGTCTTCTTGCTTCGTTCATGGGTTTTAAAAGTGGCTTTTTTACAGCTGCAAATCTACGTAGGTCTACTTTAAGGAGACGTTGTTTCACTGTAACCACGCTAATAGGATCTCCTCTGATTCTATTAATTTCTACAGTGGTTTCCGGTGCAATAAGACGTCCAGTACGTTTGCTAATATTTTTAATATAGCGATCCTGAAATTCTGCGTTTTTTCTGGTCGTCTCGATCTTCTGTTTGACGAACAACCTTCGACACTTACGTATTTCTCGATGGTATCGTGCACCATCGACTTTGGAATTTTCTTTCTTAGAGCAATTTCCCTAATTGAATATTCTTCCTTCGTTCTTTGTCCTAAGAATAATTCTCGTTTTGAACCCACGTCCGAACGTAAAAGCAGCTAAAGGCGAACTAAAGCATGGAAGGCAACTGCATAGCTCGCTAACTCAATTCTTATCTCTATATACAATTTCTAAGTAGCTCATCGAGAGTTTAGGAACACTTAATACGTTCGGAAAAACTCTCCGAATTCGATCTAGATCATAAAAATTAAACAAACTGAAGATTGCGATTTTCTCGCGCAACGAGATTGTTCCGTTAGGTTCCGCATTTTCGGATACAAATTTAGTTATTGCATTTTCGTTAAATAATTTCAACATAACAATTAATTTCACTGTGTCACGATACTTTACTATACACAACAGTAATAATAACAAATGACGAAATCATTGTAAAAAATTTTATTCCTCAATTGAAATTACATTCTGTGAAAAAGTAGCAAGTGTCCGTATACTTATTAGCGGCTCTAATCCGATTCTCGATCGACTTACCTCTAACACACCTGATGTAATTGTTGAACTCCTTCTGCAATCTGTTAGCGGCATTTTGCTGCCTCATGAAGTTCTGTAGATGTTCATCGAATATGTCATCTGCAGTTCTGTCCACCTTGCCCAGATTTTGAAGGAACTGCAACCAAAAAATACACTCTGTCAGCAACTTAAATACAATTATCAATTACTAATTTTTCTATCACCGCATAATGTACCAAGCGTAATCGAAAGTGTTCAGTACTTCTGTCAATATCTAACTAGAATCATTCTTTTTATTTTGCTTTTTAAATAGCACGTGTCCTTTAAAAATTGCAAATGCAATAAACAACAGTAGGCGAAAAGAATTATAGAGTTCCATTTAAAAAACTAAAGGTGACTTAGGTAACTTTGAAGAGAAAATGACCTAAAAAAGATATGAGCCACTCAGAAGGCAAAGTGGCCTACTCCATAAAACTAAATTTATTAAATTTTTATTATTTATGAAGAGTCACCAAGCATGTGCTTCGATACTAAAATTGGAAGAATATCGAAAAGTGGAGTTAATCATTTTGCCTTCTGAGTGACTCATATATTAACCTGCAGGCCTCTCTCAACCAAGGTATTAAGAAAAAAAGAAATTTGTATCGCTCCAGTAGTAGCGGAAATAATTAAGGTGATCGAGTTACGTTGTTCACCCGGTATATTAAACGTTTCAGAATTTACTCCGTATAAGTTAAAAAATTACTGTTACTTACACTCAACAGAGTGTGCAACAGTCGATACATAATTAATACGCATTCCAACGCTGTAAACTTTGCGCGGTCACGAAAGCTTCTGCTACTAAATGCCAGTGTTATGTTGTATTTTATTTCACGATATCATCCTCACGTTCGAACGTGACTTTCAATTCGTTTCTCGTCTTTCGTCTTGACGCTCGTCTTTGTTCACCACTGAACGTAATCGACGCTAACTTACACTAACGTCACCATTCCTTTATCATTTGTACCCTACATACTACACGATTCATTGCTATTAGCCGAGAAAGATCTGCATTGAAGAGAATCATGTGTGATAAGAGGACCTTTATGAAGCTACAGTGAATTACTTGTGAACAATCGCAAGTGCGCTTGTAATCAGACTATGTTCAGAATTAGGTTCTACTTGCGAAATAAATCGTTCGCAATCTTAAAAATATATATATATACCTTCTTGAAGATGATACAATGCATCTGTTATACGACGACGCTGTTATCTATCCAGTTATTAGTATTAGGTCATCGCGTAAGTTTCCGCCGAAGGCGAAAAATATTTTAATGACAATCCAAGGAAATACTATAGCGACAATATAATGGTCTTATTCAAAAAAAAATAAAAAATAAAAATAAAATAAAGTTGTGTAATGAGAATGCTCTTATGCTTTTATTTTTTTATCGAATCTAAAGGATCCTTGGAAATATTGATCTAAATTATAAAATTCGACACGAACTTATGGGATGACCTAATAATTTTTAGTATAAAATGCAAATTATTAAAAAAGGAGGCAAATATTATTTATTTACCACCTGTTGAAATTATACAACAATAAATAAACTTTAATGAAGTGTATGGAGACTTTATTCACTGACAAGAGTATACGACTTTGTCTCAGGCATAGAGGTTCTACGTTAATACTACAAGAAATTAAAAAATTCTTCAATCTTAGTCTCCACAGATGATTGTTGCAAGTATTAAAGAAATATCCGACTATTGATTGATTGATCTATCTATAAAAATCTTAGTCGCATGAATAATTCTCTTTCCTTTACTTTACTCAGGTGATTTTACTCATGACAGTTTTGTCTTTGAAAGTAATTTCTTTTTCATGCGAAACGTTGTTTGTAGCGCAAGTAAATTATAAATAAATTGCTACTTTACACTTTTCATGGATTGAACGATACTTTTAAAATGTCCAAAAAGTATGAACATAAAATATTACATTTATCAAAATCTACTGTATACCAATTTTTGACATGTGCTTCGTTTGAAAATTAACACCGTACCTGAATGATTAAATATGGCTTGACGTATTGTCTGAAGTAGGAAGTGTAGAGAACTACCGAAGTCCAGTAACTGGTGTACCATACCGGGTGTAAATATGTTTACTAGAATAAATCGTGTAAACAAAACCGATAATCGATGCTAATAAAAAAAAAAAATCGTTCAGAAAGTTCAAACTGTCCTGCATAAGATAAAGGTGTAGCCGCAGCACTGTTAGAAAGTTCTCAGGCTCAGGGAAAAATACTTCCCTGCAAACAATAGCGATGATTTAAAAGAAATTTGAAAAAAATGGCCATTGAAACAAATTTTAATTTGAAACCATTCACATTATGCCTTAAACATTTTTCACTATCCTTAAAAACGAAGGAGATATTACTCAGGTATTCAGGTTTTGCTGGGACACTCTGTATATTCCTCCAAGGAAAAGGTAGAACAGTAATACAATTTTTCCAAGGAATTTCTTCCTTTAGAAGGAAAATTAACACATTGCGGATATGCTTTCTGCTTATTTCTATGGTTTATGTATTACTTTGTGTAATTCGTTATCATGTTTTTTCCAGCTTTGCAGCAATAGCTTTATTTATAAACAGGAACCAAATAAAATTCAGTTGTAGTATGAAATGTTTGGAATTCCTCTCCGTTTTCGAATAAAGATTATGATTAACATATAAATCGGATAAACGCCAGACTGTGTAGAAAGGAGGATCACTCCCTAAAGCAGGGCCGTTTAGCAGGACTATCACCTGGCAAGGGCACCGGCCGATGCCCGCGGGCAGAGATGAGGGCGAAGTCGTAGGCTAGTGATGGTCACATACATTAAAGCGGAGTGGAGGAAAGACGCTTGTGTTACATGTCTTCGAAACATAATTCTCCTGCTTAAGATGGGCAATGGCTACTGTTTATATACATACACACACCGTTGCCCGAGCAGGCGTGGTTTGTTGTTCGTCGATTTGTTTACGCCCGGGGAAACCTAATACGTTGCCCGTACGCGTAATGACTGAACGACACTGTCTTAACACGTTGACTGCCACGTTGGTCACCTGTGACCGGAGATTTTTTCCTCGATGGTGCCACGATGGTCACCAGTGACCGGAGTGTCACAAATATTTAGAATAATTAAAATAAAATGAATATCGTCAACTAAAAATTTCGAACAACATAAACTAACTATACATCGTTTAAGGTAAGAGTAACCTCCCTCTCGGACCGATTTTCGTCCGTTCGGCGCAGTTCCCATTACTATCTACTGATGTGACGCATGCGATTGGTCGTAGCGCCACTTTGGCTAGGCCCAAGAGCGACGTCAACGTAAACAGCGCATAGAGTGGAGAGAATCTACCCGGTGGTTTAAAAGTATGCGCACCTACTGCGTGCAAGTTAAAGCAGCGGTTTATGACAGACGAGTAGCTGCCAGTTGTATGAATTTAGCCGAGCAAAATAAAAATATCAATATATAGGGAACGATTCATTTAAAAAATATATATACGGAAATTAGTGTGAGCTGAGGTTGCAAATTGTTCGAGGTGTGGGACACGATGGCAGTAGCAGGAAAAGAACTTTTATATCGTTGAACGGTGATTTTTTAGTAGCAAGATACTTTTATTTCACTGTTCATCTTTGAAACTTGAATGCACACATTGTTGCAGTCTCTATTCTCGAATGCAACATCGATGGAAGCACTATTTCGAATGCAAAACATTGTTGTACGCGTTACTTTTGAATGCAACATCGCTTCAAGCGTTATATTCGAACGCAAACATTGTTGGAATCTCTATTTCTGATTGCAACATTATTAGAAGCGTGATTTCGAACGCAAACATTATTACGAGCACTTCGCTTGAATGTAACATTGTTACAAGCGCCATTCTCGCTCGTAACATCGTTAACTCGTATTATTTTCGAACGCACATTATGGCATAAACATTATTACAAGCACTTCGCTTGAATGTAACATTGCTACAAGCGCCATTCTCGCTCGTAACATCGTTAACTCGTATTATTTTCGAACGCACATTATGGCAAAGGTGTTATCGAGTTTGCAACATTGTTGCAGCGAGTCGCTCCCGAAAATTGCACATTGTTGCAAACAGGTCCTCGGGTTTGCAACTTTGTTGTCGCGAAAATTGCACACTGTTGCACGACGCCCCCGTTTTGCAACTTTGTGCGTTTTTCGGGAGCAACTCAAAAGTTGCAAGCGCGATTCTCCTTTTGCAACTTTATTGCTGGGAGTCGCTCCCGAAAACTGCACATTGTTGCAAACGCGTTATCTCGTTTGCAACTTTGTTGTCACGAAAATTACACATTGTTGCACGACGCCCCGTTTTGCAACTTTGTGCGTTTTTCGGGAGCAACGCTCGACAACAAAGTTGCAAGCGCGATTCTCCTTTTGCAACTTTGTTGCCACGAGTCGCTCCCGAAAATTGCACGTTGTTGCAAAACGGCGCGTCGTGCAACAATGTGCGATTTTTGGGACAACAAAGTTGCAAACCCGAGGACGCGTTTGCAACAATGTGCAATTTTCGGGAGCGACTTTCGGCAACGAAGTTGCAAAAGAGAGAACCGCGCTGGCAACTTTGTCGCCGAGAGTCGCTCCCGAAAAATGCACCATGTTGCAAAACGAGAATGACGCTTGTAACAATGTTACAGTCAAGCGTAGTGCTTGTAATAATGTTTGCGTTCAAATATAACGCTTGAAGCAATGTTGCATTCAAAAGTAACGCGTACAACAATGTTTTGCATTCGAAATAGTGCTTCCATCGATGTTGCATTCGAGAATAGAGACTGCAACAATGTGTGCATTCAAGTTTCAAAGATGAACAGTGAAATAAAAGTATCTTGCTACTTAAAAATCACCGATATAAAACGGCGGTAAAAGTTCTTTTTGCAACTCTGTGTCGCGCGCGCGATTCGCGAAAAATTTGGATTATTTTTACGTACTTACTTATTACTTATTATCATTTATTAAGTAAGCAAATGTACTCCAAATTATATCGTGTTTGTATCATTTTAATCAGAAAAATGTGACAAATATGTTAGTATAAATTTCAATTTTAAATTTTACTTTAATACAAAAAAACATTCCAGAAAAAATATTAAAGATTTTCAGAGACAAAATTA